CACACACACAGCCATGGCCAAAGACCATACATTGAGACAAAGTAATTTTTTGGCCTGTCTTGCTTCAAATGACCTTATATGCCAGTTATGACTAATAACTGGCATATTTTCTTCCTTTCAAGGTATAGACATATTTTAAAGATACTTTAGTTTCTCAACATAAAAGCAATTCTTTATAAATTTGCCCATAAGCTTCTTTTACATTATTTAAACACCATTGATGTTTAGCAATTCATACTATAAGTGGATTTATGTCAATATTACTATGTTATGTTGACTTTCTTAAATATGGAAAAAGATACAAATTAATTTCCCACCATGCATTTGCTGAAAGGATATTTTCTAAGGAAGAAAATTTACTATAATGTTTCATTTTATGGCCCTTGTCTACATACAAATCATCTATAAACACAAGTGACCTCATGCTCATTTGCGAAGCAGAAAGCTTTCCCGTCAACTCTAGCCTAACTATCTTTTGTCTGTTTTTGAGGGATTCTCTGTTTCTTGGAGTCTGGGTCTGCACCCTGCTTCCTCCCTGGAGACTGCCAATCAGCCCTCTTGCTGTGAGTGGGACTGGGTGACAGTGTGGGGTCAGAAGCACAGGTAATGCAGTCCGGGTTATTGAGACAGACACATGCTTTGTGATACTCCCAGTGAACGTGTCAGCCACAACACTGTACCAGAAAAAACTTGTCTTAGTAATAGATCAGGCAAACATCCTGTTTGCTACCCAGCACCACGCCATGAGCTAGCATTGTTGATGGAGGAAGGGTTGGGAGCCAGTTTAAAGTTGAATAAATATATTTTCAGATGGTAGAAACCCTAACGTTTCCCAGCTCAGGGTGAAGGCTAAATTCCAGGATGGCAGCCATTTATGCTCCTACTGTGGTTCATGCCCATTAAGAACCTAACAGCAGCCAGCCTTTGCAGACATCAGAGAGAAACAGATGACACCCACAAAACACCCACAAAATAAGTTGCTCATCAGGTGTTAGGAGAGCGGCAGGGAGTTGTTGACTAAAGATGTTAGTGAAAATGCACTTCCTAACTTGTGGTGACTTAACATAAAAAAACATAACTTTCATATCCATTTAAAGTCATTCATTTGGAAGAAAAAAATCTAAAAGATGATTTCCCTGGAGAGAAAAATCTCAGAATGCTTTTCACAATTAGTCATTCAAAAACTTAGCCTAAATATTCATCCAATAATTTTTAGCCAAAATTTAAAAAAAATAAATGAAATAATAGTTTGGATCTATAGAATACAAATTCCACAAATATCAGTGCTATTCTTTGACTATAAAATTATTTTTATACTTTGACAAAAATAGTTTTCTGATCAAAATATAAATGCATATACTTAGTTTGTCCTGATTCTATGTTGTTGAAGGGTTTTTTCTAAGTTTTCTAACTCAAAAAATTTTTCAAAACTTCATCTTTAAAAAGAATCTGGAATGACTTAAGAGAAAAATTATTATTTAAAAAACGTTTATCTAGACAATTTAAATAAGACAACACGTACTTTGCTCCTCACTTCAGGTCTTCATGGAGCCTTTCTGCCTGCCCACTCCTCTGACAGAAAGGGCCTGGGAGCCGGGGCTGGCCCCGCCTTTCTGATGTGACCAGCCTCAACAAACAGAAATGGAATAATCATGGCCAAGTACAGCCCAGTCATCCAGCTGGGGCAGCCATTCTGTGTTGATCATGGGACATGAGGCTCTGTGTATTCCATACACTATTGGTGGCATTGTCCTGGCCTGAGGTCTCATTGTTTAAGGTCTCTTTTTTCTTTCTAATACACTTAAATTATAAAGACTTTTTTAGTACAGTACTTTTATGGTTGTCCCTAACAACTGAGTAGTAAATTTAGCCTACTAATTACTTTTCTGTATTTTGCCTTAATAATAGGAGTTCACATTTACTGAAGGCTTATTTGTGCCAGGCGTTGTTCTAAGTTAGTTTATTGATTCAGCGAGCCAGAAGCTACTACTTACCTGCATTTAACAAATGTGGAAACCCAGGTACAATGGTATCTAAGTCATACTTTGAGCCACTGTACCATGTTGCCTTACACTTTAGACTTTTAAACCTAATATTATTCTTTTAATAAAAAGGAAGGCCATATGTAACGATTTGGTTTAGCAATGGATTCTATTTTAAGTAAAACTAAAAAGATTTCTATAACACTCTTTAGGTGCCAAGCCTGTTGTAAGCACTCTACTCAGGCACTAATTCATTTAATCTTTGATCCAGTCCTGTGTAGGCACCACTATTGCTCCCACAGAATGGAAAAGGAAACTGAGACACTGAGAGGCTAATGAGTAGCTTGCCCATGGTCATCTAGCTAGTACGACAGAACATCTGGGGGAGGCAGTGCGTATGCCAATTATTGCAATTATTTTAACATTCCAGTCCTGCCATTGCTGTTTGCCTTTAAAAAAATGATTCCATCTTTCTCATTTTTAGCAACCTTATTTACAAATAATGGGTGGCAGTGGGGGGATCCCATGATCTCTAAAATCCTTTCCAAAAGTCCTATTAATTTAGTACAACAAACCCTGCCAAGTCACATGGGAAAAGCCTTGTTTATGCCACTCCAAAGGCTTAAACTCAAACTGCAGCGTTTAAACTGGCTGTACCTTCCAACACTTTCTGTGTATGTTTGGTTTCGGGAAAGACTAGTTTCAGGAAAAGAATCTAGCAGTAGAAAAACATTAGCTAGAAAAGTACCTAGCTAAGATGTAGAAAATATTTTGTTGATCTCCAGAAGTGCCAATTTCAGTTCAGCATCTGCCAATAGGCCCAGATAATTCTCAATGCTAGAATCCCTGGCTCTACCATTCACCAGCTATGCAACCCGGGCAAATATTCCATCATTCTGATCGAGCACCTTCCTCTGTAAAATGGGGATAAAAATAATTCTACCTCAGTAGAGTTGATGTGAAGAGTAATTGAAATGCCTGTAAAGCATGTACAACAGACCTGCAACACGGTAACTAGTGAGTAAAAATTTAGGATTATTTGAGAATACCTTGTCTCCTAAGAAAACTATGAATTCCAACTATTGTCATAGCTGTGGAGGACTCCTTCTGAGGTCTGATGAAAGACCAGTCTCTTACTATTTGGAAAATTGGGCCCATCATTTTTATCTTCAAGAACAAAAAAAAAATCCACTTATAAATTGCTCAATGGTTATGATAGATGTGACTCAGTACTGAACTGTATTAGCCTGGTGAAGCTGCTTAATATCAGAGGGCCTGTGCTCACAAGAGCAATATGAGTTAGAGGTTTTTATTTAACCTTATTTAGTTAACTATGCAATCAGTATCATTTAGGCAATTTGTTGGACTGGATTTTCTAAAGTTTGTAAGGGGTAGATATTAATCTGCTTCCCCCTCTTTGGTTAAAAAGGTAGTGGCTTTATTATATGCTAAGTTTCTTACAGTACATTTCCTGAGGCCTGGAAACAGCATTTCACAGCACTAGAACTTGTCTGTCCTTTTAAACAACTCATCAGTACAGTATATTAATTACCCGGTAATACAATTTATATAATGCAGTGTATAAATTACCCAGTGTGCAAGGAAATAAAAAAGCCTAAGGACATTTGAAATTTAACTGAGACTTGAAATTTAACACTCTCTGGAGGTCTGATTACACTTGCTTGTCACTCTTACTAGTGGAAAATCACTTTCGCTATATAGAAGAGCCAAATAAATTAATCCATAGCTTTAAAATGAGTTGTATTAGCTTAATGTAGATTCAATCTGGGAATAAAGTAGGTCCTTTTAAAACTGATTACAGAATGTTACAATAAATGGTAGTTTATTAAGTATATTCACTTTGCAAAGTTGTATGTATAAATATGATATGATTGTATCTAGGACAAAACAGATACCCTGAATTTAGGTAAGTCTCTCAGAGGTGAAGGCAATGATAGAGATTATATCATCCACCAGAGACCTGGAGGGATTAAGTGATTTGACTAAAGTTATGTGGAATAAGTGCACAGTCCAGATTTTAGCAGAGGCTTTCCTGATCTCAAGTTGAGAGAAGTCCCACTCTTCTACAGCATGCATTCAACAACATATTATGATAATAATTACAATAACCATTATTTATTAGGTACATACTTTGAGCCAAGTACTCTGTTTGGTACTTAGAACTCTTTGTCCCCACCTCATAGGTCTTTGATGTATGTCTAGTTGTTTCCACTGTACAGATCGAATGACTACACCTCTGCACTGTGACCTGTTCAAGGCTATGCAGTGAGCAAATGCTGGAAGCTGGAGCCTCACTCTTGCATCTGTACTCTTTCCACTGGACCCACTGTTTCGCCCATGACCACATGGGGACCAACACGACCACATCTTTGGCTGGGTTTTCTTTCAAAGTCAGTATTTTAACCTAACGCAATGATAGTCCTGGCTGTGTGCAACTGTAGAACTTGTGTCCAAATTCTGAAAAAATAATAATACCATTCCTAACATTAGCTCACACTCAAAGGAAAAGGGCATCAGAATGGTACATCATTTGTCTACTGTTCTTGAAAATTAACTCACTGACTTTTTAAAAATCAAGTGTAAAAAAGCCTGCCAAATTATTAAAACATGATCTCTTAGCTATATAGGCCATGGACTCAAGATTATGAACTTGAAATCAAAAAGCAAAGAGTCAACTCCTAGAGGATGAAAAGGGAATATTAAGCCTGGTACTCTGTACATTAATACTTTGAGGTAAACTAGAAAAACTACTGAAAATTACTATTTATTTAATGCTTCATTCTATTTGAAAGAGAAATCCCCACATGATCAATACTACCTATATTTAAAAGTTTAAAATATACTGGAAAGTGATTGAATGAGCAATAACTACAATCATAGTAGCAGTGTCTTAGCAAAAATATTTTAGATTTATTAGCCAAACTATTAAATGTTTGATGTGTGTTAGAAGCATTAGTTCCAAGGCAAAATGAGGCGATATTATGTGTAACTGTTTGGAAACATTTTTATTAAAAAAGATTTTTAATATTAATGCTACTTTCAATACAAGTGTGATAATACTCAATAAAGTATCCTGTACTTGATATAGTGAATTTAGAAATGCAACAGTCCACACAGATGCTGGCCCCTCCCTCTCCATTAGCTACCCTAGTAGCAAAATGTAAATATCCCTTTAAAAAATAAAGAGGCCTTTAGGCAGTTGGATGAGCAGAGTGGGGGCAAGGAAAGAGCTCTTTCCAGACATACTCATGCTTTTGGCTTTGACTTCATTTAGTAATGTCAGTTCTGAGAGAACTGAATCAAACCCTTCTATGCTCTGCAAAAGCATAGGAGAAAAAAGCTTGTCATTTACAAGCAGCTATGGACAAAACCAGAGGCAGAGTTGAGGGACTGGGGAAATTAGGGATTCAAAACAAAAGTTAAAGTACACAGTTACTGTCAAAAATATATTAATTTTCCCTAAGAAAATTAAGAGCATTTTGTCTAATGAACTAGATTGCTGACCTTTTAATACTTTTGGTTTTCTGGAACATACAATCACCATCGGACATAAAAGACTAGTTTGCTTTAAAAAAATTGCTTGGAGTTATCTACAGGAATCTTGTGAACACAATTCAAGGATAACATTCTGCAGCTCTTTGGGTATTGGACGATTTCCTCAGATAAGTCCACAAGCAAAGAGGGAGCTGTTAAACCCACTGATTCAAGTGGGCATATTTTCTCACTCCTTTTCGCCCTAGCTCCCTCTTTCCCTAAATGCCAGTGCTTTCCAGCTCTCCGTCCTCTACCCCTAAGGCATGAGAACGAGAAATCATGAAGAGTTTCTCCTTGTTTGTAAACTGCCTCTGCACTGGCTGTGGTGGCTGGGCCTTGGGTGGCCCTCGGCTGGGATCTTCCAGGGGGCTATCTGGACGACTCTGCTCCTCCGCACCAGTGGCGGTGGTAGACTCACAGTCTTGACTTTTACTGGCTACTTCGTCCACAATTGACTCCACGGAGGTGCCGGCCTCCCGCAGCGGGGTGTAGCCCTTTTTGCTGCAGGATGGGTCATCGGAGTGAGAGCTCGGCGAACCCAGACTGGCTGGGGGAGAGCCCTCCAGTCGCAGCGGGGGCGAAGGGGAAGCAGCTTTGGCCGGAAGGTTAGAGTCCAGGTCTGCACTGCGCAAGGAGGGCGGGGGCTCCGGGGACATTGGCACCCGGTAGTCCGGGAGCCCGCTGGTGCTACAGCGCCTCAGAGCCCTGTACTTGCCGGTCCTGGGCAGCTGGCAGCCCTGCACCCCCGCGGTGTGCGTCGCCGCCACGCCCCCGGGCTCCTCTAGCTCTCCTGGCGCCCAGCTCGCGCTACCCCGGTTACCTCGGAGGTCGGTCAAACTTAGGTCGAGCTCATCCCTCGGGATCTTCTGGGAGCCGCGTTCCCCAGGGAGTCTCTGCCAGCTGCAGCTTGCGCCCTTTGTGTCCCCGTCCCTGTCGCGGTCCCCTTGCATTGGTAACAGTGTGAAGGCGCTCAACGAGGAGTCCACGAGGGAGCTGGCGGTGCTCTGGCGCCCCCAACTCTCAGGTGGGCTGCAGGGCGCCGGGCTGCTGCTGCTGCTGGCGGCCGCGGCCACGGCAGCGGTGGCCGCAGCCCGGCGACGGCCAGCCACGCACGAGCGTTCGCGGTAGATGCTGTACACGGCCTCCGCCAGGCTCGGGGGCTCCTGCGAACACCGGGGAGATGAGGCCAAGTCTGGCGGGGACACGGCACCCCTGGCCATGCCGCTGCCCCCGCCCAGAGCTGTGGGGTGGGGCCATGAACCCTTGGCCAACATCGCTGCAGCCTCGAAGGCATCCCCAGGGCCGCCGCAGCTCCCAGGCTTCAGCTCCACGCCCCTCGACTGCACGTAGCTGAGGAAGCCGTTGAGTGGTGTGGCCCCGGGGGGCGCCGAGGCAGGCACCGAGGACGAGGAGGCCTTGGCGGCGGCCGCCGCAGCGGCGGCCAGGTCTTTGGCACGGAGGCTGTGCACGTCGATGACCGTGGAGTAGAGGTCCCGCAGGTTGATGATCTTGGTCTTCTTGTCGCGGTTCTCGTGGAGCACCGCGTTGGCGCAGATGAAGAGGAAGATGCCAATACCCATAATGAGGGGGCCGAAGACCTTTAGCTTGTCAGAATGCAAGTAGCTGGAGAAGATTCGGAAGAAGAAACCCACAGACGCAGAGGACGGCGAAGGGGTGGTGGAACGTGCTGGAGGCGTGCTCCTGGGCGCGCCCACGGAACTGGAGTTTACACCCCCCACAGTAACCAGAAGGCTCTTGGACCGGTTTTTGCTGCCACTGCTGGTGCTATTACCCGTGGTTGGGACTCGGTGGCCGCTGCTAGTGGGCGGCAGCTGCTTACCCGTCTCCTTACTAGCCCCTTCGGCCTTGGGCCAGTAGCCCATCACCGCCATGGCTATGCCAACCAGCAGCACCAGGATCCCACAGAGGGCGATGAGTCCAGATATGGAGCACAGCTTCAGCTTTCCCTTCACCACCACCACGTCGTTCTTGCGCCTCTTCTTGGCTTTCCGCTTGCGCTTGGGAACCTGGTTCGGAGGGCGGAGGGGATCCTGCTTTCTAGCGGAAATCCTCAGTAGGCCGCCGGTAGCGATCATGTCGAAGGGGTGGAGCAAGGGGCTAATCCCCGGGGCGTTGGCTTGGGCAAAGGGGGCGCCAGCTGCCCACTAGCTGCTCTGCCACCTCTTCCTGCTGCAAAGCAGAGGAAGACAGTCAGAGGGTATAGACTTGACTGTAACGACATGCCACGCGCTGCAGTTGTCCCGCTCCTCCATCCCTCCACAAGTGTGCCCCCCCACCCCAGGGCCTTTACCCAGCCACCAGAGTGCGGCTTACAGAGACCAGTGGGTGGGGTGGGTGGACTAGGGAAGGGAGGCGTTGTTGCAATAATTGATAGGAGGTGATAGAACACGTCGCCCCCATGCCTCCCTTTCACACACTCTGTAGGTAATATTCCAGCTTGTTCATTTCAAACCCTCCTGGCTGGCAGCCAACAGAGTTCTGACCATTAGTAGAAACTAAATGTGGAGACTCCAAGTAAGTAGTTGAGGACTTTCCAGGCAAAAGCCATTCCCTTTGTCCTGCTGGAATCGGAAGAGTCCCAATCCAGCTGCCACAAGAGTCCCAATTCTCTACCTAAGCCAAGATTGTATCAAGGTTCGGCCCAAAGTCACTAAAACAGCCACAAAAGTTTGGTTCTAAAGATAAAAGAATTCATTTCATACATATGCAAGCAGGCGGCAGATCATACATATGCCGGCAGGCAGGCAGCTTATTTACTTCCGATAATTAATAGAGAGCCCATTGCTGGGAGAACACCAAAGAACTATGTCAGTGCTCTGACAATAAGTATTTGCACAAAGTTGTCTTCTACCTATTACTGTTCCTACAGCTAAAGGCAAGCAGAGCCTTCTCCCTGCTTTTTCTTCATCTATTTTCTGCAACATCTGGACAGCTTCTTGGGGTGGAATATTTAGTTTTAGATAACTGGTTATGTAACTGAGCTCTTCCTTCTGGCCTCTTCTCCTCCCTCAGAGGAACTCCCTTATAGGTATCATATGCTACATCTCTTCGGGGAATTTGAGAGCTCCCTAGAATCTCCAAGAGAAAGATTTCTTTCTCCAGTGGAAAAATTACAACCTTAAAAAAAAATTCACCAGTCTGCCATAATAGCTTTCTGACCCCTTATTAATATGCCAACACTTTTCAGAATCTCAAAATTCAAATGAGTAGGCAATTAACTGGGTACAGCATAATAATGATTGGTAAGATGACATTTTCCCAAGTAAGAACTGTTTTCTTCATTTTGAGGTCATTTTTAGGAAGGGAGGGTGACAACAGTCAATGAATTATCTTATAGGAAGTTTAGTTGTTTAAATAAAGCCTAGGTTAGATAAACGCAGATTTGTCTTTGTGGATATCTGTTAGCTTCGGGATCCCCAAAGTAAAACATTTTTGTTCCACTGGCTGTGCTCCTTCCTATAACAGAGATGATAAAATCAGGGGCCTTGTTTGAATTGGAAAGGCTTCAATATCATTCACGAGCCTTTTGGCATTTTATTCTTTATTAAATAATTCATATTTTACAATAAATTACCCTTTGAAAATGAGGGATGATTTAGGTAGAATTCTGCTTTTAATTAGTGCCTGGATGAAGTGCTTTGGCCCTCAATTCCCTCCATTATATCAATATAGGCAGGATCTTTTCTCCACCGATGGAAAAGCAAATGGTAATCAGCTCTTTACAATGTTTGCAAATCAATTTTCAGTAGGAGAAATACTAGGTAGGTTAGAGAGGGGTCAGTAGAGAGAAAACATCTATGACCCTTTATAATTTTATTTTAAGGAGCTGCACCAGTAAGTACAGGTTGTTTAAAAAAAGAGTAGTTTACTGTTCATCTGACACCCCCCAAAATAACCATGTTTATTATGTATTTGTAAGAGACTGCTGTTTTAAGTGATCTGTAGACTCCAGCATCTTATCTAGAGATCTGTGATTATTTTAAGAAGGACTTATGAGCTAGACATTTTAGAAACAAAACCGGACTCAGTTGGCGGTGGGGCTCTCCCAGACCAGAGAAGGGCTAACATGCTAACAATCTGTTTGGTAACATTGTTAAGGTGGACCAGGTTGCCGCGTTTCCTGGGGAGGAAGACCCCCACGATGTATTTCTCCTCAGAAATCAGCGTTGCCTCTGGGTAAAATGTGAGAAAGATTGGGATGAATTTCAACCATCGTTTACAGAAGATCATTAAAATGAGCTTAATAGCTAGTAATTAACTCCCTAGTTTATTATTCCTCCAGCTCTGTTGAAGGCTGGGCTCCTTTCCCGTATGCCAACATCTGACCCGAAATACTGACAACCTCTGACATGAAAGCAGAAGTGAGGTCAGACGTCGTGGGAGACCCACCTTTGAGGCTTTTTTTTTCCCCATTCATAATGCAGGAAAACAAACTTAGCAGTCGGGGTTGGCCGCCCTAGCAATTGACTGCCTGGTGCTGGTCTTTCCGTGGTTAAGGAATGGAGGAGGGGGGAATGTCTAAAAATACAACCGCTTCCAAGAGAGACATTCAAGTTCTCGGTTCATGATGAATTAAGCCCCACTCTGTGAGAGGCTCAGAGCCCACAGTCTGGGAGCGCCCTGCCCTGCCCAGGAGTCAGCCCAGGTCCTGGACCCCCACTCCCTCATTGGCAGGACAGCGAGCCCCCGACCTTTTTCTTCTGCTTATTTATGTTGGAGTCACATGAGTGCAGCAGCTGGGAGTCCGCCTCTGGAAAGAAGACAGGCAAAACAGAAGTGAGGGCAATCTGGAACTTGCATTTTCTGGGCAGCGCATCCCATATAGCCAATCCTCCCAAGAAAACGACTGCCCCGGACTGGTGTTCGGGAGGCCCAGGCTCGGGGCATGAGTGATGGGAAGGGGCAGCTCGGGGGTTGAGAACAGGCAGAATTGCTCAAAATGGCAGCACTAGAAGCAAACAATATCGCTCACTTACCCGGGAAGACTGGGGCAGTTCAGGGCCGGCGATCGGACGCACGGGCGACACAAAGGAACCATGGAGAAACTTTTTCAGTCCCAGACAGCCGCGGAGCGCAGGGACAGCGCCTAGGGGGCCGTGCATCCGCGCGCGGCTCAGCAGCCTCGCGGGGGCGAGCTCCCGCCCCAGGTTCGCAGCCCCCTCCGGTGCTGTGGCTGGAGCCATTTCCAAGAGTTTCCAAGAAGTGTCAGGTCCTCCGCATCCTGCATCTTGTCTACTAGCCGTTTTCCCCGCCGCAGCCCCTCCCGCCCCTCGCGCCTGCCCTCCCGCCCAGCTCGCCGGCTGCCCCAGCGCCTATTGTGTGGCAGCGGCGCGCCGGGCTCCGCCGGGTGGAGTAGAGCCCGCCGCGGCTCGCGCGGCTCGGGGCGGCCGGACTGGCGGCTGTTGCTAAGAGACCGGAGCCATGACACAGGGAAATTGCTGCAGGCTGGCAGTCGGTACCCGGCGCGACTGTGTTCCTCAGGGGCGCACCCGCCCCCCGCCCCGCCTCCCCGGCGCTCCCCCTTCACGGGCCTTCCTCCACCTCCTCCCCCGACACACTTCCTCTGCAGCCCGCCGCGCGTCCCTTCGGAAGAACCGCTTGATAACCTGGAGGCTCCTGGGCAGACGGAGGAGGAGCCCCGGGTCTGGGGACGCGCGCTGGGAGGACTGAGCGCTGGGCGCTTCGACCTCGCCTTCCCCTCCCCTAAGGCGCCCGGGGACCGCTGCCTGCCTTCACAGGGAGCTTTGTTCTTTTTCTTCCAACTACCTGTCTGAGCAGCGGACCGGAGAGGGCCAAAGAAAGGGCCCTCACTCCTGAGGGTCTCCCCATCAGCATCCGAGAGACGCTCTTGAGTGAGAGAGGGGTTAGTGTCCCCCTCTTCCTCCCTCCCTTCTTCTCTTTTTTGTTGCTTCTACTCTTGGATACGACACAGGCTTTGCTGTCGCCCCCCTCCACCCCCCATTTGGGTGTTTGCAGTGTGGACGCGCAGTGAACACAGTAAGTTGTCCCCAAGCAAACTCGGGTGCGGACTGGAGCCGCCTCTGCCGGTCTGGGCGCAGTAAGAGACTCGTGGCTCCGTCTCCTGTCCTCGCGCTTCAGTGCAGCCGGGCTGTGTGACTGGCTTTCTTGGGACCTCCGCCTCTCCCCTCCGAGCGCGGCCAGCTGGGGCTCATCGGAGATTAGAATCGGTCTGGGCTCTTCCTGGGGTAGCCCCTCCTGCTCCTAACCAGTGCGGTAATCAACAAGCATTAAAAGGAAAACTGTAATTCTGCAGGGATCAGAGTTAGAATCAACGAGGGGTGATGGGGGTAGGGAGGATATCCAAACTCACTACGTCATTTTTAAAAAGCAGGAGAGAGAGAGACATCCAGTTCCCCAGCTCATCCCTGGACTCTCAGCTGTAAAGTAAAAATGACGGGGAAAAGAGAATTTCAAAGTGGAATTTCCCCGTGGAGTTATTGAGAAAGTAGGAAAGATTTCAATTATCTATGGAAGCGAGGCAGCAGGATGGAGGAAGAAAGCAATAGAAGGGCAGATGAAGCAAGGGCTGTCTGAACTTTGGGGTCCAGACAGAAGTGTTGTGGTGTATGTGTGTGGGCAGGGTGTCTGTGGTATATTCTGAGCAGTGCTGTTTAAGGGGCCACAGAGGCCACACAGGAGGGCTTTGGAGCCCACAGTTCCAGTTACAAGATAGTTCCTCCATGTACACAGTGTTCACTTATGTTTAAAGCTAGAACGTACACTTTCCAAAAAGAACAGTAAAAAACAAACACAGGTTGAGAGAGATAAATGTGGACAATGATATATGAGGTAAGGATAGAGGAGGTAGGGAGACAGGAAGGGATGGGGGAGAAATGTTTCCCCAAAGGAGCCCCTCCACCTGCCTGTTTGAAAGGTGGCCTCTGTCACCCTTTCCAAGCTAATAATGAATCTGGATGATGAGCAGGGGGTTCAGGACCCTCCTCCTTCCACCTGTCTATCCCTACTCACTTGCAGAAGGCAAGAAAACGAGCCACAATAAAGAGAAAGTTTTAAATCCCACACTGGATTGTTTCCTTTTAGAGAAATCACTGCAAAGGAGAAGCAACTTGGTCTTGCTGTCATTTTTAAAGGTTTGTTTTGGCTCAGAGATTCCAGATGTTGGAATCACATAATAATCTGGTGTTTTGTACAAGGATGGGATCTGCAAGCTCATCTCATCACACAGCTGGCAGTCAGGGGCTATGGATGGCAATACCCATCTATATCCTTCGTGGGCCTCTGCTGAACTGCAGAAATGGGAATAATATTGCAGAACTTCATTAGGCTTTTAGGTGGATTAAACCACTAATGGCTTCAAATTTCAGCATAAATTATAGCCATCATCTGCACATCTAAAACTCATTGGAGGGATTTGGAGAAGAAATCTTTTCTAGACAAACAAGGTTTTGGGACAGAGCTAGTGTTTTTCTTGTTTTGTTTTTGTTTTTATGTCAATGACTACAGTAAGATTTATGGTTTATTAACCAAACACTTCCTTCCAAACTGAGCTCTTTGGAACTTCGCATGATTCTGTTTATTCGGAGTGTTACCACCTTGGGTAATTTTCCTCATTTTTGGCTCAGGGTATCAGAGGAAATCAGGCAGATCATATCTCTTTCCAGAGGAGTCCTTTATGCCCTCTGTAATAACATAGTATCAGCATGCATTACCAGGGCTTTCCAAGTTATACACAGTGCCTTTTAAAGGAACAATGATGTTTGTGGCCCTCCTGGAGTTGTTTCTCTTCTAGTTTCACTGGCTGTTCAGTTTGGATGGTTTCTGAAATTATGGGACACCCATTTTCATCCTCCTGAGGACCAAAGGGCTAATGCTACGTAATCATAATAATTCACTAGCATTTGGAGCTCAGCCTGAACATGTCGTTGCAGGGGAGTAATGAAGGCTTTAGGGAAAAAAGAGGGAAAAGATTAGCTAGTTTGGTTGGATTACACTCTGACCTGAAACCTTTCATTTGCTCTTTCTTAAAAACAATCCTTATGTAATTTATCAGTTTCATAATTTATTCACAACTCATTTACTTCCCCTGATCATTTCATCACCTTGTCTGGCTCTCCTGCCTGTGCTCTCAGGGCTGCTCAGGGGGAGACAGGGGCCTGCCCGGGGCCCACTCAGGCTCCTCCTCATCCCTGGGACTTCTTGTGTCAACAGCTGAGCAACTCCACCCCCTCCACATGCTCTCCTCTCACAGATTGTCCAGGCTGCAGAAACAGAGGTAGTTTAGTGTGATGGGTTCTGGAACCAGTTTGTATCATACACTAAATACTTAATTTCAGTAAGTAAATGACTTAAGCTCACCTTCCTTAGTTTCCCTGTCTGTAATGGGATAATGACACTGATACCTATTGCATAGCATTGCTGAGGAATAAATGAGTTTAGTTCATGTAAACTGATGCTTAGCACATGGTATACACTCATGAAATTTAGCCATCATCCTTTTTAGTCCTAACATCTTCTCCCAGCTTGCTACTCTCACTTTCCTGTTCTTTTCATATTCACCAGGATCTACACGGGACCATGTCTGCATTGAATCTCTCTGAAATGAGGTGACAATCAGCTCTTGAGACTGAACTATGCCTATCCGCACAGCATAGGCCCAGTGCTACCCAGGAAAGCCCGCTGTTTAGGAGAGTGAAGACACTTTTTTCATTGCTGCTTTGCTCATTTTGCAATTAGCCAAGGCCCTTTCATTTCAGTTTGCTGGAGAACCCAGATTTCCAGCCCATGTACTCTCCAGTCAAATTAGAAATTTGCAGAAACACAACCAAGAGGACACTTTTTCCAACTGGAAGTTTCAGGATTTCATAGAAAAGACTGTCAAGTCTTTTTATAGCATCGTTACAGCAGAAGGAGGAAACCGTTATCCCAAGGTTGGAAACAGGACACAAAATATCTCACTCCTCCTCTTTCTTTGTCCCTTCTTTGTACCCTTACCAATAAAAAAAGAACGTGGCAAACAAAGCCATGGCAAAAGAACAGAAAAAAATTAAGCACTAGATGTAGCAAACAAAATATTGGGACTTACACTAAAAAACAATTTGTTGTTTATTTGAAATTCAGATTTAACTGGGCATCCTGTCTTTTATCTGCATCCCCAGCACAGTGTACCTTGGTAGTCTCACAGTTCTTCATGGCCCATGTAAAGTGTAAAAGAGCCTGATAAACAGAAAATAGGGAATGCAGCAGTGGATTGAAGCCTCATTAGATTTCTTTTGGAGCAGAATAGGCAGGAAAAGATAACACTGAGCAGAGCCTGGAGAGAGCAATAAACTCAGAAGACCAAGGACAGCACTTCCATAACTGAGCCGCACTTGGCCTTGGGGTTTCTCATGGTTACAGGTTACACAGTGTATGTTTCCAGCCCTTCCCCATGGAACACTGCCATGCCAGGGGGACAGGCACTTGCTGCGCCTCCACTCCTTGGGGTGCTGCAAATGAACCTCTAAGAAGAACTGAGCATCATTTTCAAGAACTTCAGTTTGGAAACTAACAGTAAACTCATGATAGTGTTGGGGCCATGGTCAGGCCTGTTTCTTGTGTTTCTTAAAAGTGTCAAAGAGTTCAAGCTCAAATGCTTCTTCCACAGAGGACAGGAAATGATAAAAAGTCTAAAGAGCCTTCCTTAGAACATATCAGAGAGGGGCTTCTACTTCTGGTCCAGATAATGGCATGTGACACTGACAGCCTTTACCTCTACTTCAGCCCCATTTCTTCTTAGTATCACAAATCACCAAGCTCTCAATTAGAAGTCTACCAGGGTTGTTTTCTCTAATAAGCAGGTTTGTTTTTGTACATTTGGTTTCCCCCCCATAGCCATTTTTCTACCATTTTCCGTGTACACCATCAAAGCTAGATTGTGTGTCTTAGAAAGTAACTGAAGTGTGAGATGAGACATTTGGGTCTGTCGGAAGGCCTGAAAGCAGATCAAAGCTGAGCTTGGAAAGGGCTTTGCAGAGAGGGCTCCATCAAGGGAAGAGCCAAGAAGAGACCTACAACTAAATGTCCCCTATGTTTCCAAAACATATCCTAAATGTCCACACTTAGCTCACTCCTATTATTTCTTTCATTCTACAAGCACTATGGGTATATGACTTGTCCCACTGAGAACTCATAGAGACTCACATGTCTGATCTCCTTTCAAAATTAATTATCATGTAAACTGCTGTGAGT